CTTTTTTTCCTTTGCTCATTTTTTTCTTAAATTTCACAAATGAATGAAATCATATGGTATTTGTCTTTCTCTGATTGACTTATTTTGTTTAGCATTATACTGTCTAGCTCTATCCATGTTGTTGCAAATGACAAGATTTTGTTCTTTTTATGGCTGAATAATATTCTGTGGAATGAGTGTGTGTGTGTGTGTGTGTGTGTGTGTATTTTTTTTTTTTTTATTCCACCTCATCTTTATCCATTTGTCTATTGATAGATACTTGGGCTGCTTCCATAGCTTAGGTATTGTAAATAACGTTGCAATAAATATAGGGGTGCATATATCTCTTTGAATTAGTGTTTTGTATTTTGGGGGTAAATACACAGTAGTGCTATTACTAAGGGACCTCCATACTGTTTTCCACAGTGGCTTCACCAGTTTGCATTCCCACCAACAGTAAAAAAAAGCATTCCTTTTTCTCCATATCCTCACTAACACTTGTTTCTTGTGTTTTTGACTTTAGCTATTTTGACAGATGTGAGGTGATATCTCATTGTAGTTTGATAGGCATTTTCCTGATGATAAGAGATGTTGAGCATCTTTTCATGTGTCTGTTGGCCATCTGGATGTCTTTGAGGCAAATGACTCTTCATGTCTTCTGCCCATTTTTTAATTGGATTATTTGTTTTTTGGGTATTGAATTGTATCAGTTCTTCATATGTTTTGGATACTAACCCTTTATCTGATATGTCATTTGCAGATAAATATCTTCTTCCATTCAGTAGATTGCCTTTTAGTTTTGTTTCCTTGGCTGTGCAGAAGCTTTTTATTTTGATATAGTCCCAGTAGTTTATTTTTGCTTTTATTTCTCTTGCCTTAGGAGACATATCTAGAAAAATGTTGCTATGGCCAATGTTAGAGACATTACTGCCTGTGCTCTCTTCAAGGATTTTTATGGTCTCAGGCCTCACATTTAGGTCTTTAATCCATGTGTCTACTTTGATGCCAGTACATTACTGTTTTAATTACTACCACTTTGTAACCTAACTTGAAATCTGGAATTGTGATGTCTCCAGTTTTGCTTTTCTTTTTCAAGATTGCTTTGGCTATTTGAGGTCTTTTGTGGTTCCACACAAGTTTTAGGATTGTTTGCTCTAATTCTGTGAAAAATGCTGTTGGTAAAGTTTTTTAAATGGCAAGGAATAGATTATTCGTATGGTGCTGTATATCCTCCACTCGAAGAATTGAGGGTCTTTGGGTTGTACACTGGCAGGGACCTGGGGAGCTCTGTCTGATAGACAAAGGAAGGGTACTTTTTAATACAAAAAGATAATGGGGAGGGAAGGGGGAAAAATAGTTACAAACAGAGAAGGAGGGAGGCAAACCACAAGAGCCTTTTAAATACAGAGAACAGGGGCTTCTGGGTGGCTCAGTTGGTTAAGCATCCGACTTCAGCTCAGGTCATGATCTCACAGTTCGTGGGTTCGAGCCCCACATCTGGCTCTGTGCAGACATGCTTGGTGTCTGGAGCCTGCTTCTGATTCTGTGTCTTTCTCTCTCTCTGCCCTCCCCTGTTCACGCTCTCTCTCGAAAATAAAACATAAAAAAAAAATACAGAGAACAAACTAAGGGTGGCTGGGGGGGGGTGTGGGAGAGGGGAAAATGGGTGATGGGCATTGAGGAGGGCACTTGTTGGGATGAATACTGGGTGTTGTATGTAAGCCAATTGGACAATAAATTATATTTAAAAAAACAAAAAGATAATGGAAGCTGTAACCAATACCTCCCCAATTATAAAGACATAAAAATAGATGTCTCTGAGGTAAATGGAGAGCCTGGGGCTTAAGAGTGTTGAAAGGGTTTCACAGGGAATGTCACAGACACCAGGGTGGCTCCTGCATCAGTTGGTAGAACAGCACATAGCCCTCACTGGATGCCACCTGATTTTCACTGACAGGGGAGACATGAGAGTCATTGTAGACGTGCCAGCCGGGCTGGCACCAGCAGAGGGCTGCATAGTGCTCATAGTGGACGCTGCCCCAAGTAGATACAAAGGGCATACAGGGCTTCGGGCTTTGTCCTGCTGCAGCAGGAAGTCTACACCTGCTGAACTTTTCCTGATGGAGTCTTGGGAGGTGGAAAATCGATTAAGATGCAGCACGAGGATTCAGAGGTATCTTTGTACCGTCAACTTTTTGGTACTTCGTGTTTTCTGCCAACATCTGTCACACACTGGAGCATTCTCTGACTCCAGCTCTTCATCCTTGGTGACAAGCCTGAAACAATCCCGCAGAGACACCTTGCCACCCACAAATCCTTTCTGGGATGGGCAGGACAGGTCACAAAAATCCTCATAGGTCATGAAGTGATGCCCACAGGTCTGGCACTTGAGACAACTTTTCAACTGGCCTACAATCAGGTCCACAGTATTGCTGTCCTCTCCCTCTATGTAACACTTCCACGTTAAGTTGGCCTGGTCATCACCATTTAACTCAGGTTCTTCTAGCAGAGCCCCTCCACAGTGGGGTTGGGAGTGAGCTGGACTGTTGGCCAGGATTGCCCGGCAGCCTTGTTGGTTGATTTCCAGGTAGAGCCGCTCCATAAGGAGCTTCAGGAACTCTTGGGCATCCTGCTGGCTGCGTCCAGAGAAGAATGGAACATATTTGTAGAAGACGGCTCAGAAAGTAGTAGGATTCACAGCTTCACAAGGAATCAGAGTTTCACAGGGCACCAATCACATCTGCAAAGGCTTCAGAGAGGTCTTGGGCTCCATCCACTCCAGGCACCTCTTGCTGGAAGTCCCGTACCAGTTAGAAGTCTGAAAGAGTGAGGACAGCTCAAACATGGTAGCACTGCATTCAGGAAGCACGTGTCCCCCAGATTTCAGAGGCCCACGTGACCAGAACCCAGAAGCAGTGTGTGATAAGCCATTTTGTCATTGGAGTAGAAAGACTCAGAGGGCCGGGCAGATAGGAAGTGGAAGGAGCCGTGGGGAGTAAGGGTCTCCATCTGTATGCTGAGTAAGGTGGGGGGACCAGGAAAGCCCTCGAGGTGGTGGAGAGATAAGTCTCAAAGTGGGAGGCTCAGGTCGGAGCCCCAAGTGGCTCAGTGCAGCCATGCACCCTCCCAAGGCAATCTCCACAGGTCGCAAGTCCCCACTGCTCACAGACTTGGAATGACCTAGTTTGGTTCTGGAAGGGAGAGGCAGAGCCACAGTCAGGGGGTGGCGAGTCAGGCAGCAGAACTCCATAATCTGCTGGAAGGGGTCCTCTAGGACGAGGGCCTCTAACATCTGTCACCATCCCAGTTCCAGTTTCTGGAGCCTTTCCTCAGAGGGACCTGGCAGGGGAGGCAAAGGTCTTAACATGGGGTTCGGTCCAGGGGCTGGTTTCTGCTCTTCTTGCTTCTGGCCCACGGGGAAAATGGTAGCTTTGATCCAATTCTGGACATCAAAATGTCGCTCTTAGGTCTGGCCCAGGTGGTGTTAGAGGGCTGCGGCCTGTGGACACCATGGACAACACAGGCTGGACCTGTCCTCTGGTGAGGTAGCAGGGGACCTGGGGCTAGGCCAAGCCCCAGCTCAGGGTCACCCCTTACTATACTCGTGCAGCTCACCCCCAAACCCCCTAGGGCCAAGCTTCAGTTTAACCACTACTGTTGCTGCATCTGTTGCCCAGATCTCTCCCACCACAGGGCTTGCCACCATCTTTGTTGGTCTGGCTTGTTGATGCTTACAAGACCACTGCTGGAGAGGAAGGGTTCTGGAGACTGTGGAAAGGGTCCTTTTACAATGTTGCTCATAATGCCATTGTCAACGGTGCTGAGCTGGTGACCTATGATCTCATCAAGGATGCCCTCCTGAAGGGGGCACCTGGGTGACTCAGTTGGTTAAGCATCTGACTCAGCTCAGGTCATGATCTCACGGTTTGTGGGTTTGAGCCTCGCATCGGGCTCTGTCCTGACAGCTTAGATCCTGGAGCCTGCTTTGGTTTCTGTGTCTCCCTCTCTCTCTTTTCTGCCCCTCCCTTCCTCATGCTCTGTCTCTGTCTCACAAAAATAAATAAAAGCATTTAAAAAATTTAAAAAAAAAGTACGCCCTCCTGAAGGCCAACCTCACAACAGACCACTACCCCTACCAATTCACTTCCATCTTTAGGGCAGGCTTCTGCACTACGATGTGGTCAAGATGAGATATGTGAATCTGCCCTGGGCCAGTACAGCAGTGCTGGCCCCTGTGCCCTTTCCATAAGTAGGGTCCCTGTGCCTTCTGCAAAGGGTTCATGCCCTCCTTTCTTTGTTTGGGTTTCTGGAATGAGGGGATGTTTGTCACCTCTGAGTAGCTCAAAAGGGCCCTCATGGATGCCTGCACTTCCCAGGAGGCTCCCTTTTGAGTGTCTCCTGATGCTGACCTGACCACCTCTGACTTTGGCTTTGGCTCCAGCCCGGCCCTACTTCCCTTCCTTCTCTCCTCACCCCTTCCTTCCACTTCCTTTCCCACCACCTGCCTTTCCTCTCACCCCTCTTTCCTACCTCATCATCCTGTTGCCTCTCGGTTCCAGTAGAGTTGACCCTAGTTGACACTGTGGGAGGCCTGGGGCACCAGCCAGGACCCCAAGCCTTCAGTCCCTTGAAGAGTTAAGTCCAACTCTTGTTCTGCCCCAAAGCCTGCCTAGCCAGCATGTCACCCATAAAATAGGTTTAGCCTTAAAAAAACAAGTGAGGACACGTTGTATAGCATATAATGGCCACATTTAATGTTGTACTGTTTTCATTTTTTCTTTAAAATCATTGGTTTGGGGCGCCTGGGTGGCGCAGTCGGTTAAGCGTCTGACTTCAGCCAGGTCACGATCTCGCGGTCCATGTGTTCGAGCCCCGCGTCGGGCTCTGGGCTGATGGCTCAGAGCCTGGAGCCTGTTTCCAATTCTGTGTCTCCCTCTCTCTCTGCCCCTCCCCCGTTCATGCTCTGTCTCTCTCTGTCCCAAAAATAAATAAACGTTGGAAAAAAAAAATTAAAAAAAAAATAAAATCATTGGTTAAATTAATAATGCATTGTACAATGAGTAAAATCATAGAAGTTGAATATGCTATTCAAATAGAGATAAATGTCAGCAAATAATCATGCCCCTTTCCCCCATCGACATGCACACTTCATGTATATGGACTATAAACTTACCTACCTCAAAGAATGTTTGACTTAACTATGTTAAGAATAGTTGTTTCATGAATGTATAATTTTCTCCCAGTAGACTGGAAATCTCCTTAGGTGGGGAATTGTGCCTATTGCCTCTATTTTTTTACCCACCATAGAACAAAAAATAAACTTTCAATAAACCCAAGATAATGATACATGTTTTGGGGACAATGGATGTCAGAAACAGTATAGCACAGGGATTTTAGTTCAAAACCTTTGTTTGGAATTCTAGTTTTACCACGGTATATCTGTAAAGTTAGGATGAACTACTTCTAAGCTTTAGTTATTCATCTATAAAATGTGTTCGATAATAATCTAGAGGAAAGTATCAATCATGATAATTGAAATATATAATAGGAAGGCATGTGGCACAGTGGAGAGCATATAGTAAGAGCTCAGTCAGTGATCACGAGATGATGATTGACTGTTTTTATAATTTCAAGTTTGCATACCCTCAGATGGGGATCTCCATGAAGGCAGGGAATTTGGCTTGTTGGTTGTTTTATCAGTTGTACTTCAAGTAGTGGTTATCACATAGCCGGGATCAAATCCATACCGGTTGAATGAATGAATACGTTTGCAGTGTTTGCCAAGCATAATTTGCTCGGTCTGTTTTAAAATAACTCAGCTGTAAGTATTTTCATCCTTGCAACACTCAACAAGATTTTATTTCCTCTACTGTTAAGAAGAGATTGGCTTAAGAGGATTTGATAAGCACACATTCGTCTTTTGTACGGGCCACACCTTTAGTGCTTCTGGCAGTTTTTCTCGTTTGGTGTCAAAAAGAAAATACGCGTTGGGGAAATTTTTCTATCAATATTCTGTAGTAATAGAAGAAGCTGAATGCAATACACTGGAGACTGACAGAAGAAAAAAAAACACAGTCCAGCATCTGGGGAGTATGATTAATTTTTTTCACACAAATTTGTTCATTTAGTGTGCGCCTGCATTCATCTTCCAATACTCCATTCTAATAATGAGTTTCAAAGATGAAAATAATTATTTCGTCAAAAATATAATTTAGTGCAGGGGCTATATTAGTTTTAAAAAGGCATAAGCTATCATTTGCTTGAAATTGTCATCAAATTCCTTCAGTTTAATGGTCATTTAAAAAGCTACCCTCCCTCCACTCACTCAGGATGAATGTGAATGTGCACATCCAGGGAGAGCACCAATCAATTTAGTAGTTAATGATTATTGTTTCCATTTCAGAGTGTTTACATTTTCCTTCAGCTACTCCTAATGCGGTATTGTACGATTTACGGGAGGAGTCACCACTCTCTCAGCACCATGGCACATGTGAGCATTTCTTTGCTTATTCTTCACGGAGGCATTTAGTTAGAATTTAACAGAGGAACGACAACAACTGGAAAGATCTCTGCCCACCCAGGGAACACAAGAAAGTAATCTCAGAGAGTCTGCACTACTGCAGCACTGTGCACGATGCAAATATGGCATAAAATCTATCTTTACATTTATTTGCAAATGTGTACAGATATGCTTCATATAAATTAATCCTCTATTTCATTATAAGGAAAGAATTACGTCTGTGGTCAAAAGTGATGGTACAGGGAGAGAGTTAATCTGATTTAGCGCAGCATGTGAAAAATTAATTGGAAGTCAGAACTCCATAGTGTTTATTATAAAGTAATTTCACACCAGCTCTGGATTAGCATGGTAACGGGTGACAATAGGTCATCACTATGTTAATTGAAAGACAGCATGCTTTATAAAGAGGGAGAGAGAAAGAGAAGGAGAGAGAGAAGGAGACAGAGACAGAGAGAGAGACGGATTGATTTAGAGGTTCAGGATGTAATATGAATTGGTGGTGGTTTGGGACAAAGGGTATAGAAAGGATGGGACCCCCCTCAGTGAAAAAGATAGCCTCTTGCAAAGTCAGGGGGGTAGGCTAAGCAAACGTTAAGTCTGGTGACCTGAAACTCAGACCCCCTGAGATCCCTGGAGATTGGAATGTTTCCCAGTTGCTGCACCTGTTAGACAGCGGTCTTGTAGAACTGAAGACACTGCTGTGCTCTCTGGTGCAGATGCTGGAGCCAGTAGAGAAAGGAAAAAGCCCAGGCCCGGGACTGGAGGCTTCAATTTCTCCTCATCTGTTGTTCTCTGAGGACACAGCTTGGCTCTCAGAGGCTCTGGATTGTGACCTGGAAGAATTAGTGCAGCAGCACTAGTGGTAAAGTGAGGGCATCTTTCATTTACCAGCCTCAGGCTTGATAAAGCCAACACTGGCAGACAAGGAACAGAAAATAACCTGTCATTTGGACATCATACTGACTGGGCAGCCAAGCAAGGCTCAGCCTTCTTCTAGCTGAGTACAGAATCCACTGAGCATCTGTCTGCGCAGAAACCTGTGTCCCGTTACACTCTGGCAATCCCACCCATGCGCTGCAGGCTGGGGTGTGCAGCCTGGGACCGCAGCCTGCAATTCAGTGGCTGAAATAGGGAAGTGTTTTTTCTGGGGTATTTGCATAACGGAGGGAGGTGCTAAAGAGGTTTTCATGGCTAGCAAATCGTGCCATAGGCAAAGATCCCACATGACATTGTGAGTGAGAACTCTGTTATTAACTGCGGTCATTGCTGAGGTCTGGGCTAGTGGCTCCCTAATGGTTTAAATATGCATTTCCATCATACAGACAACAAAAAAGGTGGAACAATGTAACACGTATTTAATCAAGCTAGAAAGTGACCCAAGGAAATCAGATTCACAGAGACAGAGGGGATAGAAACTAGCTGGGGACTGTGGGACAAGTGGTGTGTATGAAAGTCCTGTGCATGGTCAGGAGCGGGGGGGGGGGGGGGGGGATGGTGTCTGGTGGCTGGAGCGAGAGGAGTCGGTGACTTTTATGTGCAAAGGGAAGAAATCATCTTTTAGGATTCTGCAATTCTCTGTGGTATGAGCTGATGAGTATGACCTTTCGGCCTACCCTTTCTTGTGGAAAGTTTGCAACCCAGGCTGACACAAGCTGTTGTAATATGTTAATTTTGATCCAGCTCTGCTACAAATACTAACCGTGATCTCTTAAGACATTTTCACTAAGAAATATAGTCCTTTGGACATAACTTTCAGCACGAAGTATCCCGATGAAGTGTACTAACCTTTCTAATGAAGGTCAAAATTAACAAACAAAAACTAAAGGACAGAAAAAGCGGTTTCAAGAAACGGGAACACCACAGAGGTTGTCAACTGTGGGGTTAGCAGTCCAGGCACAATCCTTCATCCTGCATCCTTTCAGGAAGCTTTGTTCCTTGGAACAGCATGGTGGGAGGTCAGCTGGAAGTTATCTGGAAAAAATTGAGTGGAGATGAATTCAGACAGAGTGGGATGAGTTTGGAAACTCCTGTCAAGGAGCTAGGTGTAATTTTAGAGGCAGGAAGGAAATGGGCAAGACAGCCTTGCCCAGAAGAGAGTGTTCTGTGACACTAGGTCAACATTCATTTATTCAAGGGCTGACCATCATGGGTTGCATGCTTCAATGCCTACTAAGCCCAGCCATGTACTAGACACGATGAAACAGGGAAGCAGGTACTTCTGAGGACTGCAGTGAACTGGGAAAACAAAGTAGTGGCCACTCAGCCCCTATTGATTGCTGCTGCATAAAAGTATGGGCCAACTGTGTCTGTATCTTCTGATTTTTAAAGAGGGGACAGAAAAAAAAATTATAGGAAGCTTCCCAATTCCTGAGTATACAACAAATTCAAGTGTTTGAGGTTACCGTGTGCACCTAACAAGAACTATCTGTGAGCATGATACAGACTTATGCTCATAGTCTGCTCCTCTGGGTCACGGGCAAAATCCCTAACCTTCTCATTCTCGGAAATCTATTTACTAGAAGGTGTTCCTTTTTCAGTGCATGTGTTTGCAGAATTGGTGTTTCTTATTGTTATATACCATTATATATATATATATTTTTTTTTTCAACGTTTATTTATTTTTGGGACAGAGAGAGACAGAGCATGAACGGAGGAGGGGCAGAGAGAGAGGGAGACACAGAATCGGAAACAGGCTCCAGGCTCCGAGCCATCAGCCCAGAGCCTGACGCGGGGCTCGAACTCACGGACCGCGAGATCGTGACCTGGCTCAAGTCGGACGCTTAACCGACTGTGCCACCCAGGCACCCCTATACCATTATATTTTCAAATCTAAAGTTTAAATGAGTTTCTTCCCCTCTTTTCGATCAGTGACTCTCAACTGTCAATTCTTGGTAAAATAAAAGGCAAATATGGGGTTGCCTGGGTGGCTCAGTCAGTTCAATGTCCGACTTGATTTCAGCTCAAGTCAAGATCTCAGGGTTGTGAGATCAAGTCCTGTGTTTGACTCCCTGCTGAGTGTGGAGCCTGCTTGAGATTTTTTCTCTCTCCCCCTGCCTTTCCACCCTACTCAATCTCTCTCTCTCTCTCAAATTAAAATAAATAATTTAATTAAAAAGGGCAAATATAGAATATGGCTTCTGTGACACACATAATTGAAAAGTGTTGAATAAGAAAGCATTTAATGAAACTCCAACATTGTATCTTTTTGTTCATTCTTAAAGATTAAATGTTCTTTGATCTGGATTAGGAATTCTCTTTTTGCTTTTATTTGTTATTGAAGCATGATTGACATACAATGTTTCTTAGTTTCAGGTATATGACATAATGATTAGAGAATTCCATACATTACTCAGTGCTTATCATGGTAAGTGTGGTCACCATCTATCACCATATAATGTCATTATAATATTGACTATATTCCCTATGCTGTATTTTCATCTCTGTGACTTATTTATTTTATAACTAGAAGTTTGTGCTTCTTAATTTTAAAAAAATGTTTATTTTTGAGAGAGACAGAGTATGAGTGGGAGAGGGGCAGAGAGAGAGAGACACAGAATTTGAAATGGGCTCCAGGCTCTGAGCTGTCAGCACAGAGCCTGACTCAGGGCTTGAACTCACGAACCACGAGATCATGACCTGAGCTGAAGTTGGATGCTTAACAGACTGAGACACCCAGGTGCCTGGGAAATTTGTGCTTCTTAATGACCTCCATCTATTTTGCCCATTCCTGCCCCCAACTCCCCTCTGGAGCAGGAATTCTATTTTTTTTTTTTTTGAACAGGAATTCCTAATACTGGATTCACTCATGAGCTTCAGTTGGGCTTTAAGCTTTTTGAAATGGTACCCATAATGTTGAATGTAAATGTGGGTTGTATACTTCTCTTTTTGGAGGGAGAGTCCATAGCTTTCATTAGTTCCAAAATGGAGTCCATATCTCCTCCTGAAATATTAGTATTTACTGCTCTAGATCCTATTTATAATCTTTACCTACTTGTACTCCAGAAAAAAGTGCATTTTCTCTGTTTCAACTGTATCACTTGGGGTTCACAGTTAGGAAAATAAAAATGACAAGGAGATCTATTATTCCTTTAGCACAAAATCTAGAGTCACACATATCAATCATTGGTAAGTTATTTCTGAACAAATTAGTTTTTATACATTTAACTAGTCATATATTCAACATTTGATAGAATAAATACTTTCCTAGACTTTACACTTTTTAGATAACATACTAGGTGGGCATTTGTCATTCTTTTTGGCTACCTATAATCTAAACCCTCTTAGATTTAAAAAATCCATGGTATTAATGAAAGGACTTCATTTAAATTCCTAGTGCATAGAATGGGAATAAGAAGCAAGGGACTCAGCCTTCAATCAGATGGGAAGGGAGTTAGGGGCAGGAGGAATAAAATATAAAAGAGAATAAGGAAAGTTTTGGGATATATGGATATGTTCGCTCTCTTGATTTTAGTTTGGTTTCATGTGTATATAGATGGGTCAAAACTTATCAAAATGCACACTTAACTGAACACCTTCAGTTTTTTTGTTTTTATTTTGGCCAATTATACCTCAGTGAAGTTGTTAAAAAAATAAAGGCAAAATGGAAACATAATGAGAGGATTCTTTATCAGTATACCTGAACCAAAGAAAACACAAAAGAGATTTGAGATTTTTTTCAGCTTAAAGGAAAATTATCCAACACAGAACAGAGAGGTGTAAAAAAGGAAGAACAATAAAAAGGGTAAACACAGTGAATAATGATTAAAATTATTAAAATATGTGTAATAATACATATAAACTATAGTATAAAGATGGAAGATGCATAAATAGAGCTAAAATGTTCTAAGTCCTTCTATTGTTTAGGGAAGTAGTAAGCTATATTAGACTCTAATAAGTCAATGATGTGTATTGTAACTTCTAGGATAACATAAAATAAAGGAGTAATAGAATAATATAACATATAGAAGAAAATAACAAGAACAACAATAATACATTTTTCAGTGAAGGCAAGAAAAGAGAGAAAATAGGACATAGTCCAAGTGGGACAAACAAAACAAGCAATAAGATGGTAGCTTTAATACTAGATATATTAGCAATTACATTTGAAGTAAGAGGGCTAAATATTTATATTAAAAATCAAAGATAACATTTGATATAATAGACTGGATGAAACAACAAAATATAGCTATATGCTGTTCGGTGTAGATTATGGAAAGGTTGAAAGTAAAGGAATGAAAAAAGATGGCTTTGCATATCCTAAGCAGAGAAGCCTGGTATTATTGTAATCACATCAAAGTACAGAAGTACTAGAGGTAAAGAGGACCATAAAGTGTCATTGTACACAAAATTGTAACAATTTTAAATTTGTATGGGTCAAATATAGCCTCAAAATGAAACAAAAATTGGTAGAGCTAAAAGTAGAAAGCATTGCAGAAACAGAGAAGGACATTCTAACACACTTCTTCTCTCAGTAATTGCTCAAACAAGCAGCAAAATGATGAATGAAAACAAGTAGAAGCAAGAATGTGGACAAAATGTAACTTTTATGCACTGCTGATAGGGATGTAAAATTATGAAAACACTTTAAAAGCAATCCTCAGTTCCTCAAAGGCTTATATGTAAATTACCATGCGTCTCAGCAATGCATTTTTAAGTAGATAACCAAGAGACACAAAAATATAACACAATGGACTATGTGATTGTTGATAGCAATATTATTCACAATGGCCAAAAACAGAAGCTCAAATGTCTGTCGTCTGATGAATGACTATATAAAATGTGGTATATCGATATAACGAGTTATTTGACCATAAAAAGGGATGAAGTTCTAATACATTTTATAGCATGGATGAATCCTAAAGAAAATTAAGTGAAAGAAGCCAGACCCAAAAACTGCATATTGTAGGATTCAGTTTATATGAAATGTCCAAAATTGGTAAATCTATAGAGACAGCAAGTAAATTAGTTGTTGCCTAGGGATGGGAAGATTGGAGGGAATGGAGAATCATTTTCTCCAGAGATGAAAATCTTCTAAAATTAATTTAGTGATTGATTGTGGTTACATACTAAAAATCATTGAGTTGTATACCTTAAATTAATTGTGAATTTTATCTCAATAAGATTGTTATCTTTTAAAAAGACAACAGAGTTTCCACTTGATTCTCTTAGGACACTTCCTCTTGGAACCCAACTGTCATGTTGCAAAAAAGCCCAACTAGCCACATGGAAAGGCCACATGTAGGTGTGACAACTAACAGCCTTATTTGAGGTCCCAAATGACAGCATGCATCAATTTTCAGACTTGTGGCTACATCACCTTCAAATTGTTCAGCCTCAGCCTTTGAGTCTTCCCAGTGATGCTCCAGACTTGGCAACAGAGAAGCCATCCCCACTGTGCCCTGTGTGAATTCGTGACCCATATAATCAGTGATCATAATAAAGTGGTTTTTGTATGCTGCACAAAAAGAAAAAAAGAGGTAAAAGGACTGATATAATGTATAACAGAGATGATCAACAATGACAAACTTGGGTTCTTGAATAATAAAATTGCTAAATTCCCGGCAAGACTAATGAAGAAAAAAAAAAATTAAAGCCCAAACTATCAGTATGAGAAACATGAAAGGGAATATTGCTATAGATCTTACCGACACTAAAAAAGATGTTTTGATGCTCTTTAAACAAATATATTAAAAAATTTAAATTAAGTAGACAAATTCTGAGAAAAGCATTTTACACACAGTGAAGAAGAAATAATCCTACATCTATTAAAGAAATTAAGTCTATATATAAAGGCTTTACCACAGTGAGAACTCCAAGTCCAAATGTGTTCACTGTTGAATTCTAGTAAACATTTAAGAAAGAAATGTCAGTTTTAGACAAAAATATTCCAGAGAACAGAAAAAATGTTAACACTTCTCAACTCATTTTATGAAGGCAGCATAACTTTCATACCAAATCCTGTAAATAACATCATAAGAAAGGATGATTACAGACTAACATTTTTTTTTAAATTTTTTTAACGTCTTTTATTTATTTTTGAGACAGAAAGAGACAGAGCATGAACGGGGGAGGGGCAGAGAGAGAGGAAGACAGAATCGGAAGCAGGCTCCAGGCTCTGAGCCATGAGCCCAGAGCCCGATGCGGGGCTCGAACTCACCACGAGATTGTGACCTGAGCTGAAGTCAGACGCTTAACCGACTGAGCCACCCAGGCGCCCCCAGACTAACATTTTTAATGAATGTAGATGCAAAACTTCTCATAAAATAGTACAAAACCAGGTCCAGAGTGGATAATACTCAAGACTACACTGAGATTATTTCAGGAATGAACACAAGTTTCCTTTGACATTTGAAAGTCACTTGATATAACGTATTAACAGAATGTGAAAAATCATAATTATCTCAATATATGCAGTAAAAACATTTGATAAAACTAAACATCTATTTATAATTAAGACCTAATATTAAAACAGGAATAAAAGTAAACTTTCTTGTCTGATAAAGATTACCCCCCCCCCAAAAAAAAACCCACCAAATCTATAGCAAACACATTAGTTAATACTGAGATATTAAAAGCTTTCCCTGCAGGTTGGGAACAAAGAAGGGATGACCACAGTTATTTCTGTTCAGTATTATACTAGAGGTTTTATTTGGTGCAAAAAGTAAGAATAAAAGGTCTAAGAGGTAGAAAGTAAGATATAAAACTGACATTATTTGTAAGCATGATAATTATATACATATAAAATCCAAAAGAATCTATAATTAAACCATTATAATTAAATAAATTTAGCAATTCACTGGATATAAGATTAATGTACAAAAATAAATTCATTTTGCCATTACAAGCAAAATGCCATTGAAAAAAATGAAAGAAGGATATACAAAGGCTCTGAAGATATGAAATACCTAGGATATATACAATTAAAGTTTTTGAAAAAGAACTATAAACTGGAAAGTTCATGAAATGGAAAGTCAGATATTATAAAGAGGTCAAATCATTACAAAGTGATAGATTCAATACACCCCCAATTAAATCATGACTTTTTTTTCTTTTGGCAGAAAATAAGCTAATGGTAACATTTTTTTGTGAAAATGCAGATGGGAAAATTAAGCCAAGAATACCCTGATGAATGAAAGCCAAGTTAGCATAGTAGATTTACTAGATATAAAAATGTACAAAGCTACATTATCAAGATGGTGTATTCTTGGTATAAGGATAGACAGATAATAGAACAAAAGAGTCCAAAAAAAAAAAAAAAAAGATGAAGTCCAGAAACTGACCCACATATAAAAAGTGTTATTTCAGAGTAAGAAAACCATATTCTTCTCAATAAATAATGATCAGATAACTTTATGGACAAAAAAAAAAAAACCTTGATCCTTACCTCATGCTATGTAGACAAATAACACCAGGTACACTGCAGATCTAAGTGTAAAAGTTAAACCAAAATTAGATTCTGAAAGATAACATAGAGTATGACTTGATTTCAAGTACTGGTAGAGCACTAATCACAAAGAAAAGGATTGATAAATTACATTACATACAACTAGAACTATTTATCAAAAGACACTATGTTTTTGTTGTTGCCTGGTACATTCTAATGAAATGTAAAACAGAGCAAGATATATATATGTACCCTGATTAACACAACAGACCTAGTCCTGAAATTAGAGTGACTTGCCGCCCCTGTTCACCCTGGCTGAGGAGTTTTCCAGGTGTGGGACTTTAAATGTGGAAAATAGGAATGTCCTCAACAAACTAGAGCAACAAATTTCTTTCCCTACTTGAAATGGTGCAGATGGATTAGACCTTCCCAAATGATTTTGCTTGCCCACTGGCTCACTTGAGCACTACAGATAAAAAATGATTCCTCTCCATTCAAGATGATCTTCCAGCCAGGACCACAGAGGTTTTCAGTTCAAATGTTGGGCCTTGTCCACGTGACTGTCAGGTTGGCATCAGCCAATGGACTCCACATCTGCTTCCCCAACTCATTGTAGCCCCTCTGACCTCTTCCCTACACTGCAGCCAAGGAGATCTTTGAAAGTGAATTGGGAGCCACTGAAGGGAGGTAAGCCTAGAACACTTGAGGCACTCGTTGATCACATTTGCACTTTTAAAAGACACTTAAAGAGCAAAGAAGAGAAGCCATAACTGGAAGATATTTGCAATACATGTATCAACAAAAGGTTTATATATCATACTATATAAAGATACTTCTGCAAATGAATAAGAGAACTATAGACAATCCAAGAAAACAGGCAAAACTAATGAACAGGCCCTTCACTTAAGAGGATATCCAACTGGCTGATAAACATATAAATAGTGCTCAATTTATTTATTGGTGAAATAAAAATTAAATCCATAGTGACACATTTTTATATACCCATCAGAATGGCAAAAATAAAAATGACAGTGTCAAGTGTGATATCGAGTTTTGCCGAAGATAATGACAAGAAAAGTATATGAAATGCTTATCACTGACAGTGGAAGTACAAATTGGCTTAACAACTTTGAAAAAGCACTTAGCGGTATCTACTAAAGTTGAACATATATGTACACTCTGTGATCCGGTCATTCTTTAAAAAAATTTTTTTTAATGTTTATTTTTCAGAGAGACGCAGAGCACGAGTGGAAGAGGGGCAGAGAGAGAGGGAGACACAGAATCTGAGCTGTCAGCACAGAGCCTGAGCCTGGGCTTGAGTCCACGAACTGTGAGATCATGACCTGAGCCAAAGTTGGACACTTAACCGAATGAGCCACCAGGTGCTTCTGTAATCCAGTTACTCTATACTTCATTTTTGCAACAGAAATATATATATTTGTGCACCTAAACATGTATCCAAGTATGTTCATAGCAACAAAAGATGTAAACAACCTAAATGTTCTTCAAAATAGAATGGACAAATTGTGACAGACTTGTATAATAAATATCCTCTGAATATCTAAAAATCCTCTGACTTTCAGAATCTTCTACTTATTCCTGTTTGAAAGTCCTATGTATATTTTTTTGTGTATGAATGGGATGCTTTTGGAGGGAGAGTCAAAAGTTTCAAGGTGTTCTGAAAGGCATTCATGGCCCCAGATGGGCTAATCTCTTTTCATGGGTTGATTCAATGAATACTGGCTGGTATTTTTCAAAGAGCACTGATGAGTCTTTTAAGATGTTCTATGGAAAAATCTCATTCCAAATATATTTAGGTAACACTGCTAAATATAACCAGTCTTTTGAAGATAAGCATACTTAAGACTTTCATAGCACCCCTAATGTGCAGAATCAAGTGTTATTTTGGTCATTTTAGCATCCACAAAGTAGTTTAACAAAGGAATTGAAATCACCTTCCTCCAACTGTTTTTGATTTTTGTTTGTTTTTGTTTTTAAAGATACCTGATATTCTAAAGGACTGGTCTTTCTTGCAAAATATTTGGGAAACATTGATGTATAACAATTTTGGGTGTGGGGTCATTAAATGAATGATTATATGAAAAATACGTAAGAATTCAGATGACTCAATTAATCAAAACTACTGAGTACAAAACCCAGGTATTAGCTGAAATCACTCTGCCTATGTTTATACACAATTGACTCAGTGCTCTCCTGTTTTTAAGAAATCCATTTCCTGCCCTAATATTCATTAGTTCACAGAAGTTTGCATTCTCATTGTTCATTTCTGGATCTGGACTTCTGCTTCCACTGAACTCTTTATCTAACTGACATTTCACCTGCCAAGAGTGTTCTCTTCCCTCTGTAGCATGTAAAACTGAATGTGTTCCCCTGCTCTAATCTCTCCTAGTCAATGCATGTGATAGACCTTACTGATGTTGAGTTTGACAGGATTTTAAGAAATGGAAAAGCAAACATCTTAAAACTTGTTGAGATCCTTGTTCTCAAAAGCCCTTCAGCCCCTTAATCACTAAAAATTTTTTCCCTGGCCACCTCTTGTCAAAGGTTCCTACTTCCTTGCATATGGCTCTGATTATTCTCTCCCTCCCTTCTTTTCAGAGTTTCTCTCTCTCCATACCACATTTCCTGCTTTTATCCTATGGAGAGTGGTTTAGTTATAACCACTTTTCATCTCTGACCTAGGATCTCACGTTCTATTCTTCAAGGACTTACTAAGCTCCATTCTAAACAAATTCCTTTTTTCTTTTTTTTCTTTTTTCTTTCTACTGGTCAACAAGTATTAGTTGAGTATTTCCCATGTACCAGGCATATTGGTATCAATTTGACTTTTTATCTGGGTTCTAGCTCTGTACAATTACAACTTTCTCTCATCTCTCCTTCTTATCTCTAATAGTTTTATATGCACATGCAAAGGCCATCATTTAAAAATCTTTTTTCATTGAACACAACACCTTTTCTTGGGATATAACTAAGAAATATATCACAAGGTGGAGAAAAATGTGTCGTCATCACCTTCCCTGTGTACAATATTTAATCCTCCTTTAAGGTGTAATAGCTCAAGTGTTTCAACCTCACCATTTTATATTTGCTATTGTTTGGCATGTGAACATAATGATTGTTTTCTAAACCATAAGACTGTTGAAAGTGTTTTATATTTGTTACTTTATCCGATTATCAATACCATGTACTCACATAGAAAGAGAAGGAAGACAAATCACTTCTTTCCATTTTGTCTTTCTCACCCCCTAGAAGTAAATAAGGACAAAGTTATA